GACGGGCGGGAATACCCCGAGCCTCAGCTACCGAGTATGGATTTCTTTGTCTCCTCTTTTTGGAAACTCGTCAAGTTTTTTTTCCCCTTTTCCCTCTTTATTTCCTTTATTTTTTTTTTCAAAATGCCACTGGATCTTACAGCTTGAGGCTAGTCGCGGCTCATCACCTAGTAGTTTGGTCCAATCAGCAAAAGAAAATGACGCTCGGGTCGGGTTAGGAACCGTTAATTAGCGGCATGGCTTAATGTGGATCGCGACACTTTTACGGTGCAACGCGCGAAGAGCAAATTGGACAGTGGAGTCTTGAAAGCGGTCCCGTATGCCGTTCTTCGGAAATTTCCAAAGTGAGAGACGGATACTACCTTGCATATAGCGGTTTGTCTTGTGCGAGAACGAACCATGGACGATCTATGACAGAGCCTCCAAGAAACAAGTTCAGAGGTGAATCGAGTCTGAGGAAACAACTAGATGAGCCAGCTGATGTGACAGGCGCCGAAATTGTGGTCAATGACGGCTTCTTAATGACAGAGAGAGACCTCTTGGCACCCCTCCAGCAGCCGCACATGATAGTTATGTACGCATGCACGCTCTTTGGGTTTACGGCAGGGGTGAGATTTACCGCGCCCGCCAAAGCAACCACGATGAAACGATATTTTCTGGTCATGAGCGGCGGCCGTTGGATTGAATATGCTGCCATTGAATAGAGTGCGACGCGGCAAAGAGAGTCTTGGGCGCCATGAGCGATGGGTCTGAATCCCGCTCTGATGCGGCGATGTCTCATCATTCGACACCCGTGTTTGCTACGAAGCCTCGACTGCTCAACATTTCGGCGCAAATATGTTTCCTCTAGTTGCCAATTCAAGCGTCAAACTCAGGCCCGCCTCAAATGCCATCTACTGGCTCGACATACCCTGATTGTGGGCGACTGCGCCGGCGCCGTGGCCCTAGAGTCGGGGCTGTGGCATCAGCCCTGACGCAGACGTGCCCACCTCAGCTGCCATACAGGTCACCATTGACCATCGACCGTCCATCGAGCCTGACCCAATGGAGAGAGCAGGCTTGAAGTTTGCTACGCTGTTCCTTGGGAGGCGTCGGCGTAGGCGTTTTCAGAGATCAGCCATATGCATGAGAACCCGGGCGACATAGATCAACGTGTCCATTACTATCAAAATGGGGAAATATACATGTTAAGTTGAAGTATGGGGTTTTAAAAGGGGGAGGGGGTTTCAAGTTGGGAAATCGTGACGCAAGACGACATGTCCAGGTCTGGGCCATAGCATGGATGAAGAAAATAAGAAATGGAAAGCGGCGACACTCGACTTTCGGATGACTCTGATAACGAACCTATGCCTTGGTGGAGCCGGGAATAAATCAGCACGAACCATTCTGACAAGAAGCTGCTTCTCGTGTAAGACGACAGCCGCCAGCCAGCTCAATCTTCCTTGGAGAATAAATGAGACATCTGATTTACGCTGCAACACACCGTCTCACCAACCCGCTACAGCGTGACACCTTATACGTACAGAGTATCCAGCCACAATATTCACGCGCTTCGAAAATGATTTTGAATCAAGAGCTGTGTGGTACACGGTATTCCTGGACGACCAGCCTTGCCACGTGGGCGTCAGCAACGGAAACCTGGGTCCCCCATCAACAGCCTCCCCCCCCCTCTTCTGGCTGGCAAAACCCTTCGTCTGACTATGAAATCCACACGTGGTTTGACAAGGGCCTGCATCACCCTGAAACTGCTCAGCCGGCACGTACTTGGGGGCCTTTAACCATGACGGGCTGGGTGTGTACAGGACGCAATTCAGCGCCGGGGCCCAACACCAGTGCCGCTTGGGCGTGTAGAGAGAGGCTTCGTTTGGAGGGGTGAAGAAGGGCGCCTTGTTGCTTGCTGTTGGTTTGGCACCTTTGCGGGATATTGTGTAATACGTGCAATGCAATGTGTATGTGTCTTCGTCTTTGCCGGCGCATGGGGTCGAGGTGAGTGACGATCATCAGTTCTAATCCTGGAAGGTGCAACTTGGCGACTGTCTGGCATGCTTATCGTCATGATATTCCGGCCGAGTCCAACGGCATGGCGCGCCGTCATGGAGCCGATGGCTGTATCAACGGCCTCGTATCAACTGACTGCTGCTGCTTTGGGCCAACCGCAGAAGTATGAAACATGAAAAGGTCAACTCGTCGCTCGTGTTGCAGACGTTTCTAATGAGAGAGCCGAGCAAGCGAAGCAGCTGCGGCCAAGGACTTTTACCGTTGGGAGTCGAGACCCGTCCAAACAGCAGCGAGCCTTGTCGAGCACCGCAACGCCAAAACTTGACGTTCTGTCGTCATGCGGACAAGCGTCTGTCGAGGCGGCTGCTGCGGTTGGCCTTGGGTCTTTGTTTGGAAGGATAATTACGTGGATGCGCGAGATAACCGTGATGAATTTCGTTGCCGTTGGACGCGTGCAGGCAACACGGGAACTTGGAGAGGCTTTGGCAACGGTGATGCATCAGTTGTGGGACGATACGACTCGCAAGGCATATCGAGTGCGGAGGCCGAGTGGACAGCGCGGCCATCATTCCTTGCCACGACTTCCGTGCCGTCAAGTGCGGCGATGTGGTATGTGGTACTCTTGTCCACCTTGCGGCTGGGAAAGGGCCTTGGGCTTGCAGATGTATGCTCGCGCAATGATAGTGTGCGCTGCGGTTTCATGCTGACAAGTCCCAGTGTCTGCAACCCACGGTGGGCTCACCAAGCGTCAACTGGTCGGTGGAATGAGGGACGGAAAAGGCTTGTTTACGTGTGTCTGACTGCAGACTCGCCGCGAGTCTCAGCCTATGCAGCGTTTACACGGCCGCCCGTTCCGCTTAGAGGCCCAATTGAGAGGCAAGTTGGCCGTCGTCGTCGTCGTCGTCGTCGTCGTCGTCACCTCGCCGTTTTCTCCTCATGCCAAATTCTAGTGCATGCACGTCCACGCTCGCAATGACAGTCTCCTCCTTCCCTCTCCTCTTTGTCTCGCAGCGGCTCAATCGGCGGGTGATGTTTTATACGCATACGCATCGACCCAGCTTTTGCTCACCTTGTACTACGCACTAATAGCGACATACGACATCTGGGGTTGACATTCCGGTTCTCGCTACGGACGCTGCGGAAAGGACGGTACTCGGTACACTTGGCCTGCTCGCATCTGAGACCAGATATGGTCCTGTAACTAGGTGGTCTCCAAGTTGTAGAGCCTCATCTTGCCGCACATGCTGACGATGGTTGCCTGCCCCAAGCTGGCCGGGACTGACATGTTCGGATGCGACTCTGCAAAGGCCAAACATGGACAGAAAAAAGTCTACCTTCACACGGCTGCGTTACAAGAAGCTCGGGTCTGGCTTCCCCGAATCGAAGTTGGCGCGACTCCCATCTAATATAAAGGGACCGAAGGTGGGACGGAGCGGGAGCTACCAGGATGAAAGCACAACAGCCGGCTCTCTCCTTCTCCCTGTCCCCAGTCTGCACTGCGAGGCACACAATAACTAACCATGTAATAAATAGCATCATTTGGTACCCATCGTCATCGGACGTCCCGTGAGTGGGGGGGGGTTTTCTTGGTTCTGCTGGTTGTATGGCCGGCCGAGTTCCACAAAACAAAACTCGGTGGGCTGAAACGGGAGATACTAGCGAGATTGACGCATGCAGATGGCTGTTCGCGGGCACGCACACTGGTTGGTGTTGATGTTTCTGACTTTTCCAATATCGGCATAATGAGTGTGTGTGCCTGCCCACGCTATGAAGTGTGGACGTGGACGTGGATGTGGATGCCTTCATGGCACAGAATATCCACTGTACCAGCCGCCATTTGGGGAGGAGCATACTTTGTCCCTTCAGCAGAAGGCTCATGCCCGTCGAGGTCACTGAGCCTGCCCACATGCGTGAAGCAAGAAAGGGGATCATGTTGTCGCCATCCCCCCCCAACCCCCCAAAGCGGCCAATTCTACTGTACGCCCAAGGGCAGAGCACAAGCTCAAAATGCCCGAGACTGACTTACAATACGCCCATGTCACCTTTTCTAACGGCATGGTCGGAACGTCCCAGAATGCGCAACTCGTACTGGGTACGGCGGACTCGAGTACCATGTCGTCCAGACGTCGTCCACGGCTTGACTGCAGTCCGGGGGATGCACACGTGCCACCATGTACTGCCGTCAGCCCAGGAGCAACCTCGTACAAGGGGTATCCCAGACGATCTGTGACAGGGCCAGGCGTCCCTCCACCCACGAGGTTTGGTGGCCCTTTCCCAGGGGTCGCAAGCGTGGTCTGGCTCCATGATAACTCCGGTGTTATGAAGTGATGATGAATATTTCCCCGGCACGGTCAGTAGTAGCGAGGGGAGGGCTGACTGGTTACCTGTGGTGAGGCAGCCAGGGAACGCTGGGGCGACAGAGCAGCAGGATACTCCGTAGGATATACGGAGAACGTTCGGTTTCAACTCGGCTCTCGCCCGGGGCGCCCGGGGGTGGTTGGGGGGGGGGTGCGTGAAATCGACAAGAGCCAGGCCCGACGAGCCCCCACCCCTCGGTTCGTCGCTGCAGCTACTCCGTAATAAATATTTTTTCTCACTTCATCCAACGTTCGGAGGGGCGTGGTTCTAATCTCTGACGCTCTGATTTGCCTCGGGCAGTCTGGCGACCCTAGGCGCGCTAAGCGCCCACCTTGTCGCTTACGCTTAGCTAATTGGCGGCGAAGGCCCGACCCAACTTGATCCCCACTTTATTTGTCAGCACGTCAACAACCCGTCTGTTGCGTATCGTGTCGCGCCTGGACGGCATCCGACTGTAACTACACGCACTTGAGGGACCCCGGCCGTCCGACGAAGCGCTGGACACGGAAATCCGACATACAAAGCCAGCCGGGCAGACTTGGTTGTGGCTCTCGTCGACAGTTTCGCAAAACGAGTTGCGCGGGAGACGCCTGCAGGGGAGCGAGAGCGAGGCGGGCAGCTCGTGAGATGACGACACTGCAATCATGACAGCATCACGGGTCCGAGCCCGCAAGAACAAGGTGCTGCGTTCAGTCTTCCAAACCGGCATCTCGCATCCCACGCCTCTTCTTCTGCCGACGCTGCCGGGAGAGCCCTTTGGTGGGCCGCTCTCTTCTCCCACCTCCACATCCACCTCCCGTCGTGACAGCATCTCCTTGCTTCACACGGCCAGCGATCAGGTCCGTTGGGACAGGGCGTGGCATGCCGTGACGTCAAAGATTCAGCTGCCAGCCTCGGTGGCCGCGGAGGACTCCTTCGGCTCCTTGCCCGCCGAGCCCCGAGAGGAGGACGCACTGCTCCACCAGAGTTTGGCGCTCGTCCTCGACGCGCCCACTGCTCTTCCGCGTGCCGCCCACACGGACGACATTCTTCGGTGGCACACCCACCAGGTCCGCCAGCACTTTGTACACCATGTCCTGCCGCTGTTGGCTGCGTGTGCGTCGCAGGGTGACCATGCACAGGTCTTGCTGAGCAGCGTGCAGACGCTGGAGGCGGCCCATCGTCAGTACCTCTACGGCCTGGCGCTGATTGTGCGAGGCATCCGGGACGAGGCCGCGAGGCCTGTGGTGGTGGACAAGTTCAAACGAGACTTGCATGCCATCATTGGCAACTCGTGGGCAAGGGGCCTCGCAGAGGCACTAAGGGGCGTCTTGTCCCGTTTGCTCGCGCTCATTCTGGGATCAGATCGGAACGGCTTGGCATCGGGCACCGGTCGCCGGGGCCACGGGCAACCGGATGCAGCGAGAAGCGAGCTCCTGAGCTTGTTGGAGTCGTTGGATAATGTTGGCCTGGCAGGAGACAAGTTTCAGGTGCTGTTCGCCGAGGTCATGGACGCGTGCATGAGCGACTTCATACGGCGCACCTACACGGGAGTATGGACAGCGTTGGACGTGGGTGGGAATGTCAGCCCGTCTACTTCGTCCGGGTGCATGGCTCATTTGTGCGACTGGGTCGAGAATCACTACGGCCGTCTTGCCGTGGAAGTCTTCAGCCGTCTTGGGGGGGAGGTCTCGTGGACAGACGTCGCGCAGTGGCGAGATATCGCCATTGGAAGACTGGCTTCGCTGCGCATAAAGGAGCTTTTCGACATCGTACTCCATTGGCCTGAGAGCAAGGGAGGCCTGGAAGACCTTCGGTCTGCCGTCGCCACGCCGCAGCGGAGGCTGCAGCTCACGGATACTTTCTCGGCTACTCTCCAGAAACGGCTGCTGCACCCAGGCAGGTCCACGCTCGACATTTTGCAGACGTACATCTCCATGATTCGGACGTTCCACCAGCTCGACTCCTCCAAGGTCTTGTTAGACCGGGTGGTCCACGCTTTGCAACTATATCTCTGTCAGCGAGACGACGCGATCCGCATCGTGGTCACGGGCTTGCTTTCCAGCCCCGACAGCATCGACTCGGACGAGAGCAAACAACGGCTTGTCGAGCTGGCCGTGTTGCTCGACGAAGCTTCTCAGCAACAACGATCTCATGTCGACGAAGAGGATCTCGACTGGGACGACATGACGTGGGTACCTGATCCCGTGGATGCCGGTCCGAATTACAAACGGCCAAAGAACGAAGACGTCATTGGCACTCTCATCAATGCTCTAGGATCGCAAGAGATCTTCATCAAAGAGTTCCAAATGATTATTGCAGAGCGACTGTTGTCGAATCAAACGGGCTTTCAGCAGGAGATCAAGGTCCTGTCCCTGCTCAAGAAGAGATTCGGGGAAAACGCGCTTCAAAACTGCGACGTCATGGTCAAGGATGTCTACGACTCTCGACGGGTAGATGCCCTTCTCCGCAAGAACCTAGCGTCGACGGGCAGCCAGCAGGCCGACAGCCCACAACCCCTCAACTATCACTCCAAGATCCTATCTCGCCTCTTCTGGCCTAGTCTTCCCAAGGATCCATTCACTGTTCCCGCGCCAGTTGCCGAGGTACAGAGACAATACGAAGCAGGCTTCAAGCAGCTCAAGGCATCTAGAAAACTGACATGGCTGGACCACATTGGCACGGCAACCGTTCAACTCGCTCTCCAGGACCGAACCCTGGAACAAGAGTGCAAAACCTACGAGGCCGCGGTTATTTACGCCTTCCGGGACGACAATGAGAGCTCGGCCTCTGGTCCTCAACAGCGCACATTCAACGCGCTCTGGGAGACATTAATGATTGACGAGGATTTGTTGGAATCGGCCCTGCGATTCTGGATCTCAAAACGTGTACTCCGCGACATGGGAAACCGGACGTACGTGGTCTTGGAAAGGATGGATCAGGATGAATCGGCCAATGCTGCCGACGACGACGGCTCTGCCGATGAAGCAATAGAAATGAACCAGCCATCGCCTCGCAGGCCCAAGATGGATCAACAGGAGCAGGAACGCCGCACGGTGTTTTGGCAATTCATCGTGGGCATGTTGACCAATTCGAGCCCCGCGATGCCGCTGGGCCAGATTGCGATGATGATGAAAATGCTCATTGCTGACGGATGTCCGTGGAGCAATGAGGAGCTGCAGGAATTCCTGGCAGAGAAGATTGCAGAGGGAGAGTTGGAGCTTGCGGGGGGCAAGTATCGGCTCGTGAAGAAGCAGTGATTTGAGGTGCCTAGGTTGCGTGTGCCGACTTTGCATCCTGCGGTGACATGGTTGTTTTTTCCTTCTCTTTCCGTGCAAGAGAGAATGGCGGTTGCAAGTATTATCAAGCCAATCGAAGCCGGAGTCGGGAGCCTCGTGGTGTATCATCTTGTATTGCTGTGGGCGAGGTGGCTGTGTCAAGGATTGCAGTCGTTTCAAGCTGGCGGGCGAGCATGATGGGCAAAGCTCTCTGGCTGCAGAAAATACAACAGCTTTTTGCGTCGAAGCCCATCGCTGTGTTCGCAACGGCGCCATGCACGCCCCCCCTGGACGTGTGACGACGCCATACTCACCAGGTCCCTCGCTCGTTCCTCCCACGCTCCATCGCGCCCTGACTGTCTCTTACAGAGCCCACGAATCTGAGTAACCTCTCCCAGAGCAGATTGCTGCGTCAATCCGGAGCTTCTGTCCATTGCCAGACCGCAGAAGGAGACGCAGCCCACGGACCCGTTTTGGCACCAAGAAGGGTTTAGGAGCAAAGTCTAGCCAACCTGAAATGTTCCTCATCCATGACGAGACAAAGTCGTAGGAGGCAATGCCGAGAACGGGCATCTGGCCTTTGGTGATGATGCGGAATGACGGAACGAGAGGGGTCTTGAGTCGTGAGGGGGGAACTGCGTGCCACGCCAACCAAGGAAGGGAAAGAGATTGGTCAGCACACGATGCTGAGTGAGGAGAAGAAAAATCTATCCTGGGCAATGGGAGACGCCACGTGCTAATTCGAAGGCAGGCGCTTCGCTCCTCCTCGTTCCTTGATAGACGGGGAGGTACAACGGGCACTGACGGCGAGCGAAACCGACGGGCTAGCACATGACGCCAGCACACTCGTTCTGACACGGACCATTGCACCCACGAGGAGCAGTCTCGTATCTCTGATTGATAGCCTCCCGAGAAGAAGGGCGCCGACGCAGCCAAGCCCGTCCGTCCGAGGACAGCGCCAACATGACTGCTCCTCTCGGCCAAGGGGCTGCGAGGCTCGGGGGATTCTCATTCTCGCTCGGGGCCTGAGGCTCGCTGAATGTCGGTCATTTCTCGGCGGCGGCGGCGCCCAAAAATAGTTTAGAATTTCAAAAATATTCAGATTTTGTTTTAAATTGAATCCGGCCGCTGAACTTGGCTGTTCCTCCTCTCTGTCGTGCAGTCCATGTTGTTGGAAACGGCTTGAGCATGGGTGGGGTGTCGGTCGGCCTGGGCTCGGTGCACATGTCGTCACTCACCATCGGGCTTCGGAATGTACGGAATACACAGATGTGGCCCCCGCTATAACTTAATACGGCTTCCATTTACGGCGGTGCAAGGGAACGGCCCCACTTTAGGACTTGGTTAGCTCGAGTCAGAACTTCCTTCGGAAGCTCTTTCTCTCCTTGTGAACTGTCGCTTTATCCAAGTCGCACTCGACCTTGCTCGTGCCCTTGTACCGTCACAACGAGAGACTTTTAATTTTCTACTCAAGGAGTGGAATAATATAAAACTAAATACTTTATTATAATACTTCTACGTGCTAGGTAGCAGTATAGCAGTAGCTGTTGCCTTGAATGAGCGACTTGACATTGACATGATCTCTGCCCTCTTCCCTGGATGTCTGGCTGCTTCCCTTTCTTTTAGCCCAATCTGTACATCTCTTCCTTTCTATCTCGCTCTATTGATACCTTCATGACATAGCATTACCCCCAAGTTTAAATACATAAACTATAAGAGACAACTAGACAGAGGACACCAACCATAGCCTCGCAGCCACACATAACTGGAGCGTCATGGCCGGAAAAGCCCTTTTAGACAAGCCTTGAACGGACAGCGCGAATAAAACACCCAAGCTTATGGCCGCAAGGCGTATGCAATGACCCTAGAAGCCAGCTTAAGATTCGGAGGAAGCAGACGCTAGATCCAAGAGCACATGTCGGACAACAACGTAGTTAGGCCAGAGCTAGTTGATTGATCAATCAGCTAGTTTTATACTAAATCTAAAGGCTAAAAGAGTGACAAAAACAAGTTGACAACTAAAAGGGTATCTATATATAAGGCTAAGCGCATATATATAAATACCCTTTAAAAAAAAAAAAAAAAAAAAGAAAAAAAAAACAGTACAAAGCGTGTGGTTTAAAAAAGAAAAACATGGATACACCTCATTTTTCCCCCCTGCCCTGCCTTGGCATTTCTTCTCCACCATCTTCGTATCCTGTTCGAGGAGTACGCGATGAAATGGGTTGTCTAGGAAGCACGTCGCCTTGAGCTGTTTTCCGAACCCTATCGGATCGCCACACCTGGAAGCTCTGCCATATATATCAGAGGCAATGGCTAAATCTTCAAAGCTCAAGTCCTGCGCCTGAAGCGGCATTGGCGGTCGTGCACCACGTCTTCTCACCCGAGTCGTATCTGATGGTGAAGTTCGTATTCACAGGCAATTTGGCCATTACCCCAGCAAAAGTCGCATAGTTGTTGCTGAGGTACGCCGGGTGAACTACCGCAAGCACAGGGCTTCAAGGGACGTTTTATTAGAGACTTCCCGCAGTCCCAACATTTGCAATTCTCGAAGTGCTCAAACAGCTCCTGAAAATCGCGCTTTTCCACATGACATTGCGGACATATTACAGATCCTCTTGTCCTGAGGAAAATAGAGCGATGAGGCCGCGCCTGATATGGAGGCATGAGAACGAATTGCCGGTTAGAGAAACCGTCCCTAGTACTTGCCTTGACGTTAGTAATGGCTTTTGATGTATAGTGTCAAGCCTGAGGGACATACCTCGCATTATTTTGTCCTTGCTGTTCCATGACGAGGGCCTTGATGAGTGGTATTGTATTTATCTTTTGAGGAGGACGGGGCTTTGGGTCTTGCTGAGTAGAAGAGTGTAGGGATCCGCGAGACGGGAGGGAGGGAGGGAGCACATAGCTCTTTATATAGGGCATGAAATGCTAGATTCACTAAACTCACAGGTGGCCAAGTCGAAAGTGCACAGGGTTTGTTTTTGCCAGTGCCTCATCGTTAGTCGCCGCCTGTGTCTGTGATCTCAAGAATGAGTTAATACCTGTCATTTTCGTTTTGTATCTTTTGATTTCTTTGATCTGAAAGGAAGCGCTGATGAAGAACCTCGAGATATGTGCGTGTGTAGCGAGTATGGTATCTGTCGTCTTCGTGCGCTGAGGGTTTTGCAGATGGTCCTGAAAAGCCTCGAGGCATCTGGGGAACACGTAGCTTTTTATGTCAAGTGAGTGCTGACATGACTGAACTACTCGTGTATAGAGTCTGAAATATCGTTTTGTTCTGCCGCTGTCCTGTCACTATTCTATGCCCCAACTATTCTATGCCCCAAAGGCGCTCTGAACTGTTCACAAAAGCCCAGAACAAACGAAAAGGTTGCGCAAGGAGGCTTTTAGATTCGTCATGTGGAGAATCTACCGGCATGTACATGAACACAGAGATTTACTTCCAGTACGAAGCCCTTGCATGAGGCGTCTGAAGTTTTGAACAGGTCAACCACACTGATGCATCACCCACCGAAGGAACTCAACTTCTACGCTAGATCTGACGGCGTACATATTCACGCATCTTTTTGGTATTACGAACAAGTTATGTACAGATGATTGTTCACCACGACTTCGTTGCGCCTTTCAAAGTCTCAACCCCTTAGCTGCGTCATCGTCCCTCGGGCTAGCGTATCAACAAAAAACAATGGACGCCTCGAATATATTCTTTTAGGCGCCGGGATAATGAGGCGATGCATTTAATATCTGGTCTTCAGCGCTATTCCAATACCAGCCAAGAACGCTAAGAATGCATATTCTGCTAGTTACTCAATATACTTTCACAGAACCGTCAGGGGATCCGTATCTCCAGGGCTCTTTTTGATATGACAGGACCCAGCTGTCAACGACACATCAACGTACGGTGAGAGAAGGCATATAGGTTAGTGTGTATGGGGGAAGGAGCTAATACTACTACTTATTTTATTCATGTCAATTGCCAAGCCTATAACCAACGTACTCTTTTACCACGGGTACCAGAAAAGTCGCAAGTTTTCGGCGGACTTTGAAGCTTTACTTTACGGCCAGTTTTATCGAAGCAGCTACAAGTTCTATGGGCTTTCCTAGAGCGCCTTTTCCCCCACTGAACCTTTGTAAAACCCTACGGCGGGCTTGCGACATCAACATTATGACAAGATACAACGGTAATGTTTAACATGGGTGGATAAAAAAAGAATTGTATTTATTTTCTACGAGGTCACAGAAGAATTTTCCGGATCGATTTGATTAGTTCCTAGGGATCGTGCCCATGTACATCGTGTGACAGGCAAGGGGAAAGCCACAATAAGCTTCTATCGTCAGGATCACGCATTTCATACGCAAGACGCAGGCGAAGCTCCCAGTTCCGGAATCACAAAACTGTTGAGCCGCCTGCCTCGGGATGTGATTAATGTAACATTGTAGGAACCAATCTCTTCACCTGAAAGAAAAGACAACCGCCGTCCTAGGTTCGAGCCTCTCAATGCACATTGTTATCATTCGTATTAAATACTCTACTTATCTATCTATTTCGGGTTAGGAAAACCCTTAAACCGGGGAGAAAAACCTCATCTCCTCTCTTAGATCCCGCCCTATCTCCGGGCCCGCATAGTAGCGTCATCGCTATTATTGCTGGTCATTCTCTCCTACATCCAAGGGCTTTGGGTTTAGTCTTGGGGCGACGACCAACGATGGAAGAATGTGTGAATTCTTTCTCTCCTTCCAAGGAGACTAAGTGAATATCGGAGGGACAGGTATACTTCCCGGTCCCTTTGCACGTCTCGCAGGACAGATGTGCAATGGGCGCGGCCCCCTCAGGCTTAAAAACGCATCTACAATCCAGCACAATGCCATGCCCCAGAACTCCACCACACACACCACACGTGCAGGTGTATATGTGTCTATCTGCGTCATCGAACTCTTCAAACAGACGTCCGCATGAACGGCATAGGAAACGTGGTGGGCTCCAAAAGACAGAAATTTCAAATCGCGAGCAGAGTTTGAAGTGACTCTCCATGTCTTCAACTTCGCGTTGACAGCGAATGCAAGTTCCTCTAAACGACCGCCTTCGCATCGACTACAACAAAATCAGATTCACCAAGCAAGACGTCAAGGCATTCTGTTGAACTGTAAAGAGCGCCAAGTCCAATTCCAAAGACGAAACTAGCGAGAAGTGAATCGGCTTCAAGTCTGTGCTAAAAATCGCCAACATTGTTTTGATAACCTCCTGGACACTGCTCGTTCAAGCAGCTCGACAGGATTCATCCTGGCCTCGCAATGATTGCACAACAATGGGATGATGAGCCTGTGAATTCGCCTTCCGGGTTCACTGTAATCCTGATACACATCCATGGCCAATGCGTTGAAGTATTATGCAAAGAAATGTTTTACCCCGCATCACCGTCATTTTTAAGGCGCTCAACAGACTCTTACGAAATGCGACGTCCGAAGAGGGCTCTGGTGTGATATGCGAACTTCTTGACTTTTATTTTCCCTTGACAGAAGGGATCGCTCTGATCATCGCTTTGACACGCTCTCCGCGGATACAGGTGGATTCTAATGATATATTGTTTGCAAATCCCATTTTTGAGAAAGCTTCCAATGTGTGTTGTTCTGCTAGCCTTTTCCGCGGAAGAAATTGCTCAAATCAACACCCTTGTTACCATATTTCTAAACGGCCCGTATAAGCAAGGGATTCGAATTGGGGAAAGAGCAATACGACCTACAGCCAGCCAATATGAGTGATCTATCTCTCATTTGGTCAGCTTGGCTATTGTTTTTAGAGTGCACATCTGGTGTTATACTCACAATTTTCTCATTCCTCCAACTGACCAAATTCTATATTAGCAAGTACAGAGTAAATCGTGTCATCCAGCAAACCTACGAGTCTCTTATATGTGTCCTACGTAGTATGTCAGAAAGTGTTCAATCATGTCCATGTCCTGTTGATTGTCCATACCTGGGTGACGTCTGTGGCACCCTATAAGACTGAGCCCAAGTGCGCCCGTGTAAAAGAGTAACCTGTGGACTTACCTCCTCTTCGGCATCGGCAATCTAAGCACTTATTAGCCAATATTGCTCACAATGAAAAGTCAGGTCGACGCACGCGAGCCTTCTTCTCCGCTTCCTATAGACGAACAGTAAGCCAATATAAACCGTGATTTATCCCAGGTGAAAGTAACCTACCGCGGCTTCCTGGCATGCAGCCTTGGATTTGACAGGAAGACATTAGCATTTCTCCCCACGATAACTAGTGCCAGCAGGTCTTGATCAAATCTCACTTGGTGCTTTGCTTTGAGGGACTAAGAGCGAGTCAGGATATGCAAACAAAACACTCATAACCAAGTCACTACTTACGGCAATTTCAGTCGCTTGGGACTAAAGGGTTCGTGTCAATAGTCCAAGACTCCTCGACTTTGCAATGCGCTAGCAGTGTCAACAGTAACCTACCTTGGCTATGTCGAGAAGATTCTAAGGCAAATTAGTTGGGCAGTTTGGATTGCGAAAGAGAAAAGAATACCAACATCTCGTTTGTTCCTCCAAAACTTCAGTAGGGACATATCAGCAGGATGGTCTCGCACGAATTGCATTCTAGAAACTCACTTGAGCGGAGCCCTAGGAGAAACGTTAGAGTAGGGGCTACTTTCTCGTATCCTAGGGTGCGACATACCACGGGAACCGACAACTGAGTAGTTAAATAGGAAGGCAGTCAGCACATCTGGATGCTCGGGATATGTCATGAGCACTCACGCCTCCCTCTTCCTATTTTTTGGAGTTAGCGCGATAGATAAACATGAATAAAAAAGCTTGGTTTAATAAGAATAATACGCACTGCTGGCCTTTGCCAGCACTTTTCTGGGGCGTGGCCCCCTTTTCCACAGTGGCGACACTACAAGACGTTTGTCAGCAGGTAGCGTAGTCGAAGCGTAACGTAGTCTCTTTTTGTTTGGGATTCTAATTCATAGTTAGCAAGATCAACCAATGTACAATCAGAGGAATACATACGCTTCTTCACCCGATTTTTATCTTGATTGATTCTTCGCGTTAGTATGGAAACGACATCGATGATGAGCGCAAGACAACATACTGTGGTGCTTGCCATCGGCTAAAAAGGTAAGTGTTAGTCTTCCAGTCTAAAAACCCATCGTGAAGAATGATGCGGATACATCTGTCAATAGTGGCTGGGAGGATGCGTTCTGCTGGCAGGTTTCACATACCGGGCTTCGTCGGTGCCACTTTCGAGGGGAAAATGTCAATTGGAGCTTCTGTACACGACGAGAGGAGCACCTACTGACTACCGATGTGTATCTTTCCAAGTGAGGTGCTTGAATTAGAGAAGATTCTATATGTGGGGTCGGAAAATTGTATTCTTACTTCGAGCTTTAGATTTGGTCGTGGGAGAGAATAGTTAGGGCTGTCCTTGCAGAATGAAAATGGTGCTGGGCAGATTCTTACATCGAAGTTTTGGTCTGGTCGTGAGAGAGAATCGTTAGGGCTGTCCTTGCAGAATGAAAATGGTGCTGGGCAGACTCTTACATCGAAGTTTTGGTCTGGTCGTGAGAGAGAATCGTTAGGGCTGTCATTGCAGAATGGAAATGGTGCTTGGACAAAAGAAAAACTTACTAGAGTCTTTTTTCAAGTCTTGATTGACAGGTAACCTATGTCAGCAGCTGCACTCATCATCTAAAACGTGGACAGTGCCATTCACATACAGAACGAAGCTGGGGATGGATGATGCAAAAATTGGGCATTGAACGAGATGGGCAAAAATAATGTAGACCACCAGGTAGTGAAGTCCAATGGCACAATTGATGGGAAACGGGGTCTGGTGGCTCTTGCCTGTTATGTACGTCCTGCGAACTGGCAGGCCTTCCCAGTTCTCCCAGTGTCTTCCCAACTGCCATCAATTGATGCCCTTCTGTTTTTTTCTGTTTCGTTCTGCTAATCTCTATTTTCTCTTCAAGTGCTCGCAAACATACACAATTGGAAAATTTTCGAAATTCCCATTCAGCAACAAAGCTATTCCGTTTCTTGCACGTTTCAATACCCAATATGCCAGACCGAACTTTACAGTACGGCCAGCACCCACTTTAGACACTTTGATGATGCCGAGGCCACAGGACAACAAGAGACTGAAGTCCGGGGAGCTCAAATATGTGGCATGGAATTTTTTACCGCTACCAACGACCAAAGGGACAATCGAGTATCGACAGCCTCCTCATGTGAACGAGTTCTGGGAGATCCAATACTGGATTCAGTGGACCCTGTCACTCTTCTTTCGTGGCCTACACTTCAAGCAATAGCATTCAAGACTGATTTTTTTTTCGTCACAGAAGTGTATCATGCCCAGCATCTGTTTGCCTTCCAGAATGGCCAGAGCACCAGGACAGCATTGCGCTGATCTTTTGGAGGGCAGTGGTTTTTTACCTTCCTGTTATCCCACGAGGGCCAATTTATTTAGATGGCAAGACAGAGGTTTTCCACACCTTTTCCTTCGAAAGAAGGTTTTATTCGCCCGGTCACCATTTATTCTCTTTTTTGAGATTGGGACACTGGGATATAGCATAGCGCTAGTCCTCAGAAGGGCAATTTTATTTTTCCTCTTTGTTTGAGGTTTTTTTTTTTTTTTTTACATACGCCTCGTCACCACTTATCTCTTTTTCGAGATTGGGACACCAGGATATAGCCTTGTGCTAGTCCTCGGAAGGGCACTTCCCGCACTTGAGCATAGATTAATAAATTTCTTCTGGCTGCGGAGTAATTGCATCATATATTTTTGTCTCCCTACCGTGTCGCGAAGTGAAGACAATTCCCTTGCGCCTGGGCCTACATTTGTGAGGCCGTAAGCTTGCTAGATGTGCTTTCACTGTGCCTTTAGAGTGTCTTTGTTTTGTGACTTTTCAAATGCCCTTCTTAGTTCCACGAGCCTTTGCTCCACGAGCCTTTGCTCCACGAGCCTTTGTTCCACGAACCTTTACTCCACGAGCCGCTGCTTCCCTTTGTCTGAATATTTTTTCTTGTATGCGATCGTTCCTTTCACGTACCTCCTGAAGAGTGGTAGTTGGTAGACAGCACTGAGCGAAGTATGGCTCTCTTTGATGATAGCCCTTACGCTGTAGATCAACATGTGCATGTTTCCTGTCCAAATCTATTTTCCTAGCAGAAGTAAAGTACGGCAACGCTGCGGTACTACCTGGACGTCCTGCAAACCAGTCCCATATAGTCTCTGGTACTGGGGTCGTTCCGCGTTTTAGTAAGCTGCGTTGAATATCAACAGGACTAGTAGATAATCCTAATTCCTGAAAAACCGTAGCTAAAAGGCTTTTATACGTGTAGATCCCCGGTACAGGTCTGTCACTCATTACCAAGGCAAACGGATGCGCTAGGGATTGGATCCGCCCTGTTGACCAAGGAATTGATATGTAATTTAGAAGAACGGGCCTAAAGGACCCCGCAAGCCTATGGCGGAGAATTTCTTCGGCTGATGCAGGCAAACGAATAAATGATACCTCGCGATTCCGCTCCAGCTGACCTTGGAGACGGATATATTCGGAATACAAGCGCTTTGAGCCGTGTGCTCGGTCAAAGCGACGCTGGACGTGGCGGGCAGTATAGATCTGGAAGGGATGTAACGGCTTTAGTATTGCTTCTAGAACTTCAACCGAGTTTAGTGGTGCTTCAATAATCCACGGAATGGTAGGCATCCCTTGAAGCGGTTCGGCCACTGGCATGACGGGAATTTCGAGTTGCATTGTAGATGCACTCTCAAAAATCAAGCGATAGCGATCATATGACTGGCCCAGGTCGAAAGTCGATTGTAGGGGCAGCTTGTCGTCGGATACAGGTTTTTGAACGGGAGGAAGCTCCCTATATTCTTCTGCGGGAACTTGGAGGGCTCGGGCGACTCGTTCTTGTTCCCTCTGGCGCCTGCGCTTGACGACTGCAATCACTCTTTCGATCACTTCGTCCCTTTGTGCTTCGGCCATGATGTCGCACGGATTTGGTCTGGTAGAAGAGGAGACAATTCAGGGGAGAAGATTTGAGAGGCAGAGTGGGGGTTATTGATAGACATAGACATGGAAAAATTAACCAGTTGACCGTGCCTTTTTATACGAGTCGCGGGGTAATATTAACTTTTAGACTATGAATACTAAATCACGTTACCATCAACCTAGATAGGTGAACCCAAGCTATTTATTACTCGTGCCCGCCCTACTTTTAGTTCGGCTTGCAAAGCCCTCACTATCTAAGATGGTGCTCGACACTAAGGCGGGCTGGACACTAAGGCGGGCTGGACACTAAGGCGGGCTGGACACTAAAGCGGGCTAGTAAGGTATAAAATTAATAAATATTATAATTAAATAATTAAATAAGATATATAGTACTTATAGAATAAATAAAAATATATTTTATAATAAAGTAGTTATAAAATAATTTTAAATATTTTATATATATTATTATTTTAATTTCTAAATTTTAATAAAAATTATTATTAAA